TAATAAATTATCCACTTCAAACAAAAACACTGCAGGGAGACAGAAAGAGCTAATACACATGATTAATTAGCCTGGTTCATAAGATTACACACACACACACACACACACACACACACACAGACAGGGACAGCAGGAAAAGTTAATCTTGTAATTAAACTCAAAATGTAATTTGGCTTCGTTGTGTTTTTATTTATTTATTTATTTACTGAACTTTGTCGACTCTCCTCTGACTCGACTTGTGTTTCCTCCAGATACAAAGAAAAGTCCGAACCAACACACATCATAACTGTGAACGTGGATGCTGCATCTTCCCCCAGACACACCTGAAAACAACACCAGGGCAGGTTCTTGAAGGGGTCATGAAAAGTACTCACTAATTAAGTTTTATTTTTATGAATAACAACAGTTTTATATTTATATATGTATATATAAGAAAGCCACAGCGCATGTTTCCCCTGAGCCACACGAGTCACTGTGTTTAATTAGTCCCAACCTGTTGACGTGATGTGAAACTCTCTGCGGAGCGTTTGAGTTCTGTGTGTGTCGACTATAAATATCTCCTGCCCATAAAACACAGAGATATTTGGTATCTGTGGTGTTTCTGTGGGATGTTTTCCTGCTGTAATATTTGAGGTGCTCACTCTGATGTCGGCAGCTGGCAGCTACAGATATAAACTCTACATGTGGTTGTGAAACTACTGTCACACACCAACACATACAGTACATTATGGAGTCATTTCTAATTCAAAACTTCCATTAGAAATCTGCTGTTTTAACCCTGAGTGCAGCCGACTGTCATCACGTCTATGAAAATACAAGTTATCTATGATTTAATACACTTATAAAGTTATATAGTACGTGATATTGTTACAGGAAAGCACCAGAAGTCTTGTTTTCTAATGTAAAAAATCTAATTTAAAACTTTGAATTCAACTTTAACTATTTTCTATTAAAAATAATGTAAATTTCAAACTGTCATCACTTCTTTACAATTTTAAGATGAACTACACATACCACTATGATTTAATACACCGACATCGTTCAGTAGTTTATTAAAAAATGTGTGAGTACCATAGGACATAAATCTAATACAGAACTAAAAGATGTCACCACTGCTGTACAACTGTGAGGTCAACTATGATTTAACACATCCATAGATCAATTATCTGATGAAATTAAGTGTTTGAGTACCACAAGTATTTTTTATTAAATAAAAAAACATTGTATTCAGACCTTCAACAGGAAATCTGTCGTATTAACCCTGAGTGCAGCCAGCTGTCATCACTTCCACACAATTACAACATTACCTTTGATTTAATAAGTATTTTACTGGTAAGGGAAAAAAGAAATGTTATTGAGAGCTTCAATAGGAAATGTGTCGTATTGACCTCGAGTGCAGCCGACCCATCTCTATACAATCACAAGATCAACTACAGTATGAATGAAGCAGTGTAATATTTATAACATTTATTTGTTGTAAAAAAAAATCTAATAGAGAACTTCTCTTTGAAATCTGCTGTGTGAAGCCAACACCATGTTTGGACTATAAAAGATTCACTGTTGTAGAAGCGTGAGGTCAACTGTGATTTAATACATTCATAAAGTTAAGTATCTTGTTAAATGAAATGTTTGAGTACCACTCAAAGTCTTTTTATCAAATAAAACATAAAAATCTCATTCAGAACTTTAATTGGAAATCTAACCTTGAATGCACGTTAATCGTTAGTAGTGCTGTACAGTTAAAAATGAATAAAAGAGATACAAATGAAGCAAAATAATAAACAGAAAAAAACAGCAACCAACATAGATCAAGGCACAAATAAACACATCGGCAACATCAGCAGGACTCTAAAGCTTTAGTAAAGAGGAACGTTTTTAGCCTTGATTTAAAAGAGTCGATGGAGGGGGCAAGTCTGACAGAGAGGGGAGTGGAGCCAGTGGAGAGAGGCTAGGACAGGGGTACCTGTCAAAGGTCTGGCTGCAGAGTTTTGTACTAGTTGTAAATAGGAGAGAGATTACTGATTAATTCCAGTGTAAAGAGAGTTGCAGTAGTCCAGGCGGGTGGAAATGAAAGCATGGATGACTTTTTCTAGGTCCTTGAAACTGAGGAATGGTTTGATTTTTGCGATGGTGTGAAGTTGGAAAAAACTGTCTTTGACTACTGAGTTGACCTGTTTATCAAACTTGAGTGCAGAATCAAAAATGACACCGAGGTTTTTGACGTGAGGTTTGATAAGAGTGGATAGGTTGCCAAGACTGTTGGATATCAGGTTGATTTTGTCAGAGGGGCCAAAGACAATGATTTCGGATTTAGCTTCATTTAGTTGAAGGTTTACTGCCATCCAGGACTTCATTTCACTGATGCAGTTGAAGATATTGGTGAGTTTGGATTGGTCGTTTGGTTTGACGGGAAGATAGAGCTGGGTGTCATCAGCATAGCAGTGGAAAGAGATAACATATTTTTGAATGGTTTGACTAAGGGGGAGCATGTAGATGGAGAAAAGAATGGGGCCTAGGATTGAACCTTGCGGGACCCCGCAGGAGAGAGTAGCTGGGGGAGAGGAGAGTGTGCCTATGTTTACGGAGAAGGTTCTGTTGTTGAGGTAGGATGTGAACCAGTTCAGAGCAGTGCCATTAATTCCAGCGCCATGGTGGAGACGGACTGTACTCATTATTAAGAACTTCAACAGGAAATCTGTCGTTTTAACCCTGAGTGCAGCGACTGTCATCACTTCTATACAATTATAAGATTAACTATGATTTAACACACTTACAAAGTCAAATAGTTTATTGTGTCATCAAAGGAAATGTTTGAGTACCTTAACATAAATCAAATGCACACTGCAGTACAACTGTGACTTAATACATCCAGAAAGTTAAGTATCTTGTTAAATGAAACGTTTGAGTGCCACAAGTCTTAACTATGGTATAAAACACTAAAATGTTAAATATAATAATATATTCTTGGATGAAATGTGAGTCCCATTTGCCTTATTTTCTGATTTAAAAAACAAAACAAATTCTGATGCAAAACTTTCACTGGAAATTTGCCATTTAAAGCCTGAGTGGATCCAACATCCTGTTTGGACTGTAATGAGATGTCACCGCTGCTGCTGTTCAATAATAAGATTAAGTGTGATTTAATACACTCAAATAATTTAGTTTAATCCTGCTCAATTTAATACTTACATACTGCAAGTGTTATTTACTAATCAGAAAATCTAATTCAGAACTTCAACAGTAAATCTGCTGTTTTAACTCCGACTGCAGCAACTGTCATTAAATCTATACAATTTTAACATTAACCATAATTCAATAGACTTATAAAGTTAAGCAGTTTATTATATTGTTTAGAAAATGTGTAAACACCATAAGTCTTATTTTATATTCCAAAAATCTTACTCAGAACTTCAATAGTATATCTGCTGTTTGAAGCCTGAGTGGAGCCGACATCCAGTGTGGATTACAAAAAGCTATTTACACAATTATTTTAATTTAACAAATAAAGGTTTTTTTCTGTGTATGCAAGTGTATTAAATTAGTAAGTACCACACATCTAATTATTCAATACAGAACTTGCCATGTTGAGTCCCTGAGATAAGTTAATCATTCTTTTATTATTCTCTAATTAAAAACACAAAAACGCTGAATTTCCAACACTAAAGCCAGGTTGATGCAGGGCGGAACGTTTGATCTGGTTACATTTTCAACACGGGCACTTTTGCAACGGACCAAAGCCAAGTGTCAGGCGAAATGGAAGAGTAAGAATTTTTTCTTTTTTAATTATTTTAACCCTAGAATTTAATACAATGAGTTTGTTAATCGGCAGGTATTTATTGTTTATTAATGTAGCCAAACAGTATGGTTAAATGTACAACAGCTACGTCTTTGTCGCAGTTTCCGGTTAGTTTATTGACCGAGCTGTGGGAAGCAGACTGCAGAGGCACACTGTCAGGTCTCTGGGACTGCAAAAGAAAAGCGCTAAATTGTTCTCTGTCCTTTAATAATAATAATAAGACACTCTGAAGGTGAATAAGTCCTTAAGTTCTATTCTTAAGTTCTTATTTGAGGCATTAAGTCATTGAGGGTAATGATATACTGTTTTTCTTCTGTCTTCTGTGTCATTTCACTGATAATAGACGTATAAATTAAATATGTTTGCATTTTGTCGGCCTACTCTTGGTTGAACACTACTTTGTGGTTTTGTAAAATTGCAATATGTGTTTAAAAATATTTTCAGACATTTTATACACAAACAAACAAAAAAATTAAGAAAATGCTTAAAAGATCAATTGATATGAAAAAATGATTAGATAGATCTACTTTGAAAAATAAATAAATCAATCAAAGCAGCATATACACTTTGTAAAGTGCACCTAGCCTTCTTTATTTGTCTCTGTGTGTCTATCTAAATCTCAGTTTCCTTTTAATCATAATCACTTTTCTTATTTTTATGTAATCAAACTAGTCGAATGTCCACCATCCATCTTTTAGGGATGGGGAAAAAATTTGATACAGCATAGTATCACTGGCACTGTGTGGCAATATCGTATCATCACACAGTGCCAAGTATCGATCTTTTAAATGTATACATTATTAATATTACAAATACAAATGAAATTATAGGTGGCCTATGAGAATAATATAATCAATTCCATTTTCAGTCCACTAGATACATTTTGCTGCTGCCAAAAAATGGCTGAAGTGCGAAGAACAGACTGAAAACTTTGTCTTATTAGATCAAACAGATGTTGACAAAGTTTATCACAATGTTCAGCATATCGAGACATATTTCAAATTGCAATAATATTGTGTCATGACTTAAGTTGTGATCATATCATATTGTGGATCCTCTTGTGATTCACAGCCCTTCCGTCTTTGGGAACACATTTCACAGTCTTCATTCAGTGACTGGAAGTGAAGACAGTGACATCTGGTTAAAAGCTCCAAAAGATAAAAAGTTGGCCTTTTCATCTTAGATTATTTGTTTACATAAACAGTTTGTAAAGACAAAGAACGAGACTGTGTTTAAACTTCTTTTCAGGAAAAACGCTAACGCTGCTATGCTCAGTAACCATGAGGTAACGTGTTATGGCTCAGTGCTTTACATAAATCTTTTTGTAGTGTCCATTAAAGAGATAATAATAATGTAGTGTTGCTTCAGACTTGTCTGTCTGTGTGTTTCTCAAGTGTTCAAACTCCTGATGGACCTGAAGGAACAGAGGAAGGACAGCGGGAGGAACAAACACAGCATCAGGCAGCAGAACCTCAACACCATCATGTATGAAGTCGGCACACATCCTCTCCCTCTCTTAGCTCACTTCAATCTGCTCTGTGTGCCTGTGTTGTCACCTTTACACTTTTGCAGCAGCATGCCCACGGTTTCCTCTGACCTTTCCACACAGACGCTGAAGTATCTGTCAAAGACGCCCTGCTGCAGGCAGAGTCCAGAGATCGTTAAAGAATTCCTCACCACCATGATGCCTCACAAAGTCAGTGATATCTCACAAACGTACAGATGTTATCATTCGTGTTTTAATTTGAAAGTTAAAGATTACACAAGATGCGCAGTATTATTGTGCTGCTCCATACACCAAGTATTCATTGATATTTTCATTTTTCTATCAGGGCAGAAAAACTGCAGCTACTGAACCACTGGCCACAGACAGCAGTGGAAATTCAGCTAGTGAGTGTTTTACATTACCTCTCTTTATCTCTTCTTCACTACTGGTGTACATTGCCATGATTCTTTCACACATTTTCATTGTAGGGTTTTATACCCTCCTGAGACCTGAACTTTTTGCATTTTTAATATCTCCTAATTATATGGGATCAGAAGGATCTGATAAGAATAAAAAACTAAGAATTGTCTTTGAACAGGAAGTAGTTTTTGAACTAAACGATGTCATCATATGGGGACATTGAGTTTATTTTTAATAGCCACAGGTGTGTAATATATAGTAGTATGTAACAGTTAATTTAAATGTCTGAACATTGTTCATTTTGTACCTGTATGAATTTCCTTTGCCCCATACTCCAAGCTAGGATTGTCCTTTTTTTATCTTTAGCAACAGTCTGTCTCACCTAACTGGCCTGTGTGAAATGCTGCAATGATAAAGTCCCACTGTCCTCAAACAAATACTTCCTGATTAACAGCGTCTTAGCTCATTACTGTTGCTAAAATTGGTCAAATTTGTTGCCATATCAAGCTACAAACATTATCAAGCATAAATAAACAAGTTTCAACTAAAAAAATTGCTCCGGTTTTGGACCTTGCTCAATTTTATGTTGGGATCAGCTGCAGACTGATTTGGCAGACTTGACTGCCATCTTGTTTTTACATGTACTAGTGTATTGTGCTTTTGCTACTCTAGATGGCACAAAAAGTGTCCACAAACGAGGACAGCAGGTCTAAGTTAAGTAGAATGGAGAAAAAGGTGCAGCAAATCCAAAATGTGAAGTATAAGATAAGATAAGATAAGTAAGATAAACCTTTATTGTCTGTCACAAGTAACAGAAATTCATCTTTGGCAAGCTCCGCAATAAAATAGAAAAGGAGACACAAAACACAATAGACATTATACAAGATATACAACAAAGCAGTGTATCTGGGTGGGACTTCAGTTGTTATTTTAAACTGCTGAGGGTGGTGATGGCAGTGGGAACAAAAGTTTTTTTGTATGTGTTCTTCCAGGAAAGTGGGACTTTGTACCGGCGACCTGATGGTAGTAGTTGGAAGGATGGGTGCAGGGGGTGGGTGGGGTCCTGTGTGATGGCGGTGGCTTTCCTGGTAACTGCCTGGGTGTAAAGTTCTGCGAGGGGGGTCTGTGGGGATCCAATTATTTTCCCAGCCTGTTTTGTTATGCGGGAAAGTTTTGTTTTTTGTGTGGTTGTGAGTGAATTGTACCAGGATGCCATATTGAGGGTGAGTACAGATTCTATCAGTGATTTGTAAACCATGGTTAGTGTGTCTGTACTGACATTGAAGGACCTGAGCTTCCTCAGCAGGTGGAAAAGCTGCTGAGCTTTCTTGTAGATGGAGTCCGTATGTGTGTTGAATGATAAGGCTGTGTCAATCTCAGTCCCCAGATATTTAAATGACTCAGCCTGTTCCACCAGCTGTCCGTTGATGCTGAGGGGCTGAAAAAGTGGAGCCTGTTGTGGGTCCACTGTTCCTCTGCTCCCACAGCACAGCTCCTTGGTTTTACTGATGTTGAGCTCAAGGGAGCTTTCCTGAAAAGTGCAGACCAGGTTGTTGACTGCCTGATGGTAGTCAGACAGTGCCTTGGTGTCGGTCACATGGGCCACTAAAGCCATGTCGTCCGCATACTTAAAAAGTGTCATTCCTTCACTGCTGCAGGAAATGTTGTTAGTGTAAGCAGAGAAGAGAATGGGAGATAAAACACAGCCTTGTGGAAGCCCGGTCTTTAAAAATAGTTTGTTAGATTTAAAACCGTTTTACCAGGACTTGCTGTGGCCTGTCCTACAGAAAACTCTTAATCCATAAAACCAGTGCAGGATGAACCTGAAGCTCCACAAGTTGATGCAGTAAAATGTTTGTGTTGACAGTGTTAAAAGCTGAGGAGAAATCCATAAATAAAATCCTGGTGTGGGGATGTACAGAGTTCAGCTGTTTGCCTACTGTGTCCAAAAGGTCAAACATGCATCCTCCACTCCACGTTTAGCCTTATAGGCAAACTGGAGTGGATCCAGCCCCTCTGCTACCATGCTGGAGAGGTGGGCGCACACAACTCTCTCCATGCATTTACATAGCACAGATGTTAGGGCAACTGGTCTAAAATCATTGAGGTCCTTAGCATGTGACTTTTTTGGGATTGGGATGATGGTGGATTCCTTCCAGTGGTGAGGTACCCAGCCAGAGTCCAGTAGCTGCTGGAAGAACTTGGCGAAGACCCCACTTAGCTGAGTAGAACAGGTTTTGAGCACCCTTCCTCTGAGCTTATCAGGGCCCGAGGCTTTATGTGGGTTCACTCTGCTAAAAATGGAGGTCACCGATTTCTCATCTATGGTGAGGGCCAGGTGGGATCGGCTCAGGCTGGGGGGGGGGGTCCCACTGGCTGATGTATTGAACCTGCTGAAGAAGGTGTTGAGTTGCTCTGCAAAGAAGGCGGGGTCCTGACAACTGATCCCTGCAGGTTTGGGGTCTCTTCCCATCATGATGTTCAACCCCTGCCATGCCTCCTTTGCATTTCCAGATGTTAGTTTCCGTTCAACTTTGTCTTCATAGTTGATTTTGGCCATTTTGGCCTTCCTCCTAAACTCCTTCTCCAGCTCCCTCACCCTGAGCTTATCACCCTCTAAAAATGCTTTTTTCTTGTGAACCAAGCACATTTTCATGTCTTTAGTAATCCACTGTTTATTATTTGGATGCAGAGTTATTTGCTTGGTGGGAGTGACATTGTCCTCACAGAATAGAATATAAGCAGTCAGAACATCAGACAAGGTGTTATAATCATCACCACAATCCTCAAAGAACAAGTCCCAGTCAGTTAGTTCAAAACACCCCCTCAGTGTTTCAGTGGCCTCTTCATTCCAGACCCTGATGGTTTTTGTTACTGGCATATCCCTTTTGAGTTTTGACCTGTACCTTGGCAATAACAATAATAATAATAATAATAAATTTTATTTGTTGGCGCCTTTCTGAGCACCCAAGGACACCTTACAATAAAAACATACAAAAATACCAATAATACAACATTAAAAATAGATAAAATACATGACAGAAAATTAAACCGGATAGGCAAGTCTGAACAGATGGGTTTTAAGCTGTGATTTAAATTGTCCAATGGAGTCAATCTGACGGATATGGGGGGGCAGAGAGTTCCAGAGTCTGGGTGCAGAGCAGCTGAAGGCTCTGCCATTCATAGTGGTCAGTTTGAAATTAGGGACAGACAGAAGAGCAGCTGAGCAGGAGCGTAGAGCACGGGTGGGGGTGTAAGGGTGGAGAAGGTCTGACAGGTATTGGGGGGCCAGGTTATGGAGAGCTTTGAATGTGAGGAGAAGGACTTTATATTGGATTCGCTGATGGACAGGTAGCCAGTGGAGCTGAATGAGGATGGGAGTGATGTGTTCGGTGGATTTGGTACGGGTGATGATTCTGGCAGCAGAGTTCTGGATGATTTGGAGACGATGGAGAAGTTTGTTGGGGAGACCAGTGAGGATTGAGTTGCAGTAAAGTGAAGTGACAAGTGCGTGGACCAGGACCTAGGTGTTGTGTTGGGTGAGAGATGGACGGAGTCTGGAGATGTTACATAAGTGCATGAAGGCAGCACGGGTAATGTTACTGATGTGGGGGGAAAAAGAAAGAACACTGTCCAATATGACACCGAGGCTTTTGACTTAGGAGGAGATATGGACCGGGTGACCGTCGATGGAAATATTGAAGGGATGAGTGTTGAAGAGTGTGGACCTTGTGCCGACGAGAAGGACTTCGCTTTTATTTCCATTTAGCTTGAGAAAGTTGTTTGTCATCCAGATGTTGATGGCCTGGAGACAGTCAGTGAGGGGGGGGGTGCTTGGTTTAGTGGAGATGTAAAGTTGTGTGTCATCGGCATAACAGTGAAAATGAATTCCAAAGTGACGGAGGATGTCACCAAGGGGGAGGATGTATATGATGAATAGAAGCGGTCCCAGCACTGATCCCTGCGGGACACCATGTGTAATGGATGATGGTTGTGAATGAACATTTTTCCCTTGAACAAACTGTTTCCTGTCAGATAGATATGAAGTGAACCATTGTAATGCAGTACCAGAGACCCCAGTGCCAGCTAGGCGTTCCAGGAGTATGGAGTGGGAGATGGTATCAAAGGCGGCACTGAGGTCGAGGAGGATGAGGATGGTGAGAAGGCCAGAATCTGCTGCCAGGAGGAGGTCATTGGTGATCTTGATTAAGGCTGTTTCTGTGCTGTGTTTTGGGCGGAAACTGGACTGGAATGATTCAAAAAGACTATTATTGTGCAGGTGGTTCTGGAGGTGGGTTGTTACTGCCTTTTCTAGGATCTTACAGATGAATGGGAGGTTGGAAATGGGCCGATAGTTATTATGGTCACTGGGATCAGAACCAGGTTTTTTAAGAACGGGAGTGATGGAAGCAGTCTTCAGTGATGGTGGAACAGTAGCAGTGGAAAGGGAGAAGTGAACTATGGATGTTATAATGGGTGAGACTGTTGGCAGACAGGCTTTAATTAAGGCAGTGGGGAGAAGATCAAGTGGGCAGGTAGAGTTCTTGGATGCCTTGATGAGCCTATTAATACATTCAGCAGATGGGAGTTGAAATGTGGACAGAGTGTTGGAGGGTGGAGGATCCAGGGTGTTCCACCGGGGGTAGGTGGCTTGCGTTGGTGCGGGAGTAGTCAGTTGTTGGTGGATGTTGACAATTTTTGAGTTGAAAAAGTCCAGAAACTCTTGACACTGTGAGGTGGAGATGAGGTGAGAGGGGGTTTCAGCTGGTTTGAGGAGTTTGTTGACAGTTGAAAATAAAATCCGGGTGTTGCTGTCAGCAGAGTTAATGATATGGGAATAGTAGGTGGACTTGGCTGTGTTGATGGCAGATTTGTAGGAAGTGAGATGGTCAAGATACATTTGCTGATGCACTACAAGACCGGTTTTCCTCACTAATCGCTCCAGCTGGCGACCCCGTGTTTTAAGCTGGCGAAGCTCCGGGGTGTACCAAAGGGAGGACCGAGTGAATGTAACTGTGCGGGTTTTCAGGGGGGCAAGTGTAGCATATTGGAGGTTGGCGTTATAGTGATCAACCAGTTCAGCAGT